TTCTCTATTTATTACACAAACTATTGTTTGCATGATATCTGTGAAAAACCTAAAACTAGACACATTTTTCCATTTTAGTTTTATTCATTCTCATTGTGAGGTTTAGTTGGGCTCCAACATACTTTTGTTTGTCTAGTTTTTTATTTTATTTTTATGAGAGCTCAGTGTCTCTTGCGTCCTGTTGATTTACACAACAGAATAATTTCTGTTTATTTCGTCTAAAGTGCCATTGTTGAATTGTTGTCCTAGCAAACTCAGCATCGCCTTAAAAAAGGTTGTGTTTCTTAAAATCAATGATCAGATTAAATAATATTACTCTTTGTCCTAAAGTCAGTGATATTTATTTTCAGAGGAGAAGTTTACAAACTACAAGTTTCATTTGTTGAAATCACATCATTCAGTTTGGTTATAAAATCCCAAATATCCACTTCAAATTTTAAATCACATCCTTCTGAGTTTTCTAATAGTCTGTCGTAATAGATCACATAATAACATTAATGTTAGCATAAAATGTTATGTTCGGTGTTTTCACTCCAACCTAATGTAGGATTTTATTTTTAATTCTTTTCTTTTGTTTCAAATATTTATCAGATTCCGCTTTAAGTGTTATTTGTGCAAGTTATTAAAAAAGGGTAAGAAAAGAAAAAAAAGGCATTTCCACCAAAAAACAAAAGTCAATTTATAACATTGAGCAACACAAAAGTCTTGTAGTTCTGAGCATGAAATAGTTCAATCTACTGAGAGGTGTTAGAGTCTAAATATCTAGAATAATTTTGACTTACCTGATGTTTTACAAATCCTAAAACATGTACAATTGTACAATTCAATGATTCAAGGTTCTTTATTGTCACTCACATCACATGTGGTGCATGAGGTGGAACAAAATTTGTGTACACGGGGTCCCAGTTACACCCCAACAATAGCAAATATATAAAGTGTAAAAAAAAACAGTGTATAAGGATCTAAGATATACACAAAGATATATGTTAAACGAACGTCTAATGGAGAACTGATATGAGAACAATGTGACCTTTATGTGTCACTATTTACTTAACCAGAACTAAATAAAGATACAGAAGCAGTTTGTGAAACTCGAACTGTTTCCATAGGAATAAAGATGCTAACTGACTGTTTATCAAATCCAAACTGATGTAACCAGTAAATGTTACCAGTTCTTTAAAAAAAATACATATACATATATATATATATATATATATATATATATATATATATATATATATACACATATATGATCAGTTTGCTGCTTGGAAACTATTAATTTCTTAAAACATGATTTGACTATTCTTGTTGTACATCAATTTCTGAAAGCTTATAGAGAAAAACTTATTTTCCTAAAGGAAATTTCAAAACATCCAGTTGCATCATCATTACAATAATGCATAAATTAAAAAAAAAAAGCCAAATTAATCAAATTAATTTTCATCGTGACATTAAATAAACATGATAACCTCATTAAATAAACCCAAAAATAAACTAAAGTAATCAAACTGAATGTTCTTTTTATACTTGTTTATTTTTTGTATCTTTATTAGATCCATTAAAATGGGAGACGTTTCACAGCTGGAAGATATCAAAATGAGATCTTGTCTTTCAGTCATACATGGCAGAGACAGCAGTTTGTCAATGAACACACTCCTCTACCTGAAGCAGCTTCTCCATGGTCCCCCAGTCTGTCCAGTATCACTATGTCTGTTATTAGAGGCGGAAATGTTCAAATATAAATCTTTCCAGAAGTAAACATCTCAGAAAGTCCATCTAAATAACTCTGAAACTATGAATTAAAAATAAAAACACAACATATGATTTGTTTTGTAGTCTTGGCAGGTTGTCAAGCTGGAAAGATATACAGTAAAATAAGTCATGTAGCTTGATATTATCCTTAAAAACCCACATTTAAAACAAGATTTGGCATGATTAAAAATAAGAGGATGCTTTGAAGGATTTCATCTACTAATAAAATTAACATGTGAAGCTGGGTTCACACTAGGCCATCACTGTGAAACTTTTATGTGAAATCTTTGGTTGTGAGCTTGGACTTGTGGTCATTTGTGATCATTTTGGTTAGCAGGCTCACTAACCAAATTTAGAACTCAAATACTAAGCAGCGTCAGAAGTTTTAGAAAAAAAAAATGTTGTCATCAAAATAAGCTATATTTATATATATATATATATATATATATATATATATTTGTGTGTGTGTGTGTGTGTGTGTGTGTGTGTGTGTGTGTGTGAGTGTGTTGTATTTGTTACTGCCTCTTGGCCAGGTCTCCCTTGAAAAAGAGGATTTTAATCTCAATGTTTTTTTTGTTTTTTTGTAAAATAAAGGTTAAATAAATAAAAATAAAAATAAGCTGCAATTTTCAACATCTTTTTGCCAGTCATAAGAGCATCAACATTTATATCTTTTTTTCATCCTCTTAATGACCCCCATCATGGAGCAAAGAGGGCAATTGGAAATGCCCTCCATCAGTGAGGGCTGTGAGCTGTGATAACTTGAAAAATAAGTGAGGTACCAGTGTTGATTTTGGTGTGTGGCTGCATATAGGGGTAAGAATGGTCCCTATCAAACTTTTGTTACATCAAAATCCAAGATGGCTGCCAGCATGTATGTAAATATGTAAACAGCATGCATCATGAAGGATCCCACTCACCCAGCACACACACACACATTTTGTCCCACTCCCCTCAGGAAGGAGGTTAAGGAGCATTAAGTGTAGAAACACTAGACTGAGGAACAGCTTCTACCCTGAGGCTGTTATACTCATGAATCTCTAACCAGAATAATCACTGTGAAAAAATCACATCATGTTGCTGCTGATCTGTTTCATGTTGCTGCTGATCTGTTTCATGTTGATGTGTTCATGCATGCTCATCTGCTCACACAGACTCATGTTTGTGCTGCTGTTCGGCGTATTGTGTTCGTGGTTTTTATGCTATTAATGCTTAGTGTATTTTTAAAGTTTTTCTTAGTTTATGTTTTAGATCTTATTACCATTTTTCTTTTGCAGTTTAATACTTTTGTTGGATGTAACTGGGACCTTGTGTACACAATTTCATTCCACCGCATGTATCACATGTGTATGACAAATAAAGAACCTTGAATCCTTGAAACCTTGCGAGTTGGAAAACTTCAAAAATAGGCAGCGTGCGGACTTTTATTTTGGCGTGTGGCTGCATCTAGGTGTGTCTGTCCACAGATGTTGCAGCTTTTGAGGAAGCCTGCAATTGGCATGCTGACTGCAGGAATATCCATGTTCAGAGAATTTCACAGTACGTCGAGGACCGAGGACTCCCCTGCGACAGTTTCTGACAGTCTGTGCAGAAATTATTTGGTTTTGGAAACTGATTGTTGCAGCAGCTGTCCAGGTGACTGGCCTCAGACGATCAAGGTCAAGATGTTGGATGGGGAAGTCCTGGGCTGGTGTGGTTGCACGTGGTCTGCGGTTTTCTGGCCAGTTGGCGTACTGCCAAATTCTCTGAAACGCCTTTGGAGACAACTTATGGTGGAGAAATGAACATTCAATTCACAGACAGCAGCTCTGGTGGACATTCCTGCAGTCAGCATGCCATTTGATACTTCCTCAAAACTTGCAACCTCTGTGACTTTGTACTGTGTGATAAAACTGCACATTTTAGAGTGGCCTTTTATTGTGGTCAGCCTAAGACACACCCGTGCAATAATCATGCTGTCTAATCTGCATCTTGGTACACCACACCTGTGAGGTGGATGGATTATCTCAGCAAAGAAGAAGTGCTCACTAACGCAGACTTACACACATTTGTGAACAATATTGGAGAGAAAAAGGCATTTTGTGTACATAGAAAAATTCTTAGACCTTTGAGTTAAGCTCATGAAAAATGGGAGCAAAAACAAAAGTGTTCAGTTTACACATAGTCTCTTGTGGACAGATTCCCAACCTGTTGGTGCATGTAATATTTTATTCCTTGTTTCAGCCTCCAGGAAACAGTTTTAAGGGTTTTTTGATAAAATCACGACAGACACCCTTTTGGCTGTAACATTTTAAATGCTGCATTAGTGAGAAAACCCTCTATTTTGTCACATTATATTAGTCTGTTGTTGATTATGATGTCGACTCCTTGTTTAAACTAGAATGTTATTAAGTATGTTAATATTTTAAACTTCTTAAGTCTTAGGTAGCACAAGTTGTGTGTGAATATTTGTGTTAGCCTATGAATGAGTCTTCAACAGGAGTCTTGTTGAATGTTGCCACTGATAACTTCCATCCATCCATCCATTTTCTTTACCCGTTTATTCCATTTTGGGTCACGGGGGTCGCTGGTGCCCATGTCCAGCAATCACTGTGCGAGGGGCGGGGTACACCCTGGACGGGTCGCAAGTCCATCACAGGGCCACATAGAGACAAACGAGACAAACAACCATTCACTCTCTCACTCACACCTAGGGACAATTTTAGAGTTACCAATCAGCCTAACATGCATGTTTTTGGACTGTGGGAGGAAACCGGAGTACCCGGAGAAAACCCACGCATGCACGGAGAGAACATGCAAACTCCACCCAGAAAGGCCCCTGGACCGGGGTTTGAACCAAGGACCTGCTCGCTGAGAGGCAGCAGCTCTACCAGTTGCGCCACCGTGCTGCCCCACTGATAACTTGAGTTTTTTAATTTTGATAAAACATCATCACAATTCAAACTGATTTAAAATGTGGTTCAATTTTAATCTATATTAAAAAAATAATTATAATACCAGAATACATTTTATATGACTGTCAGAAGCTAAAGATTGACCTTCTTTAACAAAATGTTGTAAAAAAGCTTCACGTTTCCGCAAAAAAAAGTATAAATAAAAACAGCTTTAGACATGTAAATGCATTTGATTGGTTCAGTTTTGGGTTATTTTAAGATCAATCTTTTGTTTCCATATTAGCTGTGTGATATTTCAACAAAAGTGGAATATGTCGATGGTTTTGTCATCACTCGCTTTTTCTCTTCTTTCAGCACTGCCAGTAACTCAAATAAGAACTCACCCTCCTGCTCACCAGTCCTGCGTAAACATTCGCGCTCTCCCACACCGCAGAGCCAGGAGGGTGAGAACATGGTGGAGAAGGGCTCTGACCACTCCTCTGACAAGTCCCCCTCCACACCTGAGCAGGTTGTCCAGAGAACGTACTCAGTGCAGTCTGCGCGAAGCGGTGGAAAGAACTCCAAGGTGAGCAATCAGGACTTACACCTTTGTTATTTGATACATTTTCTCTACAGCTGATGAAAATATGAGAGTTTTAGAGTTCTAATATACAATGAACCACCTCAAAGTTGCAGCTCAGAATCTGCAAACTCAATCATTTGATGATTTTTCATTAAAACCTAAGTCATCATGGAAGCTTCCACAATTATAATGAATATATCTGCCTTTTTTTTTTGTGACAATTTTTTTTCATCCAAGGAACTGTAAATCCTCTACTTTGCTGTGAAGTCTTTATCTTCATTACATACCTTCATTGTTCTACGCATCTGATTCATCATCATCACCCGTGTGGGCTGTGCCCACCACTATGGGAAATAATTATTTCCAACATGCGCACACTGAGCAATAAAATAGATGAGCTTCAGCCATTGGTTGGGGAAAACAGAGACTTTTATTTTCATCTGTTTTGTGCCTTGCTGAGACGTGATTGTGTGAGCCTGTACCAGACTCAGAGCTGCAGTTACCGGGCTTCAAGCTCTTCAGAGCGGACTGGGTCACGGAGCGGACCACGTCATGGAGCTGTCAGGCAAAGCAAAAGGTGAATGCATCTGTTTTTACATCAACGATAGCTGATGTACTGATGTGACAGTGATCTTGTAACACTGTTCTCTGACCTGGAATCATTCACCATAAACTGTAAGCTCATTTGCTCCTACTGTTAGTTCACTTCATTCATCTTGGTCGGTGTTTGCAATCCTCCAGATGCTGACACAGAGCTGACACTCTACATCAGATTATGTATATGTAGTGAACAAATATATCTTTGAGTTTGCAAACTTTCTGATTTAATTTAAAATGTCAGTGCTTTTTTTTTTTTTAAACCACATCCAAAATTAGCAGTTTTTCCACAATTGAGAGGTGGTCTAAGAATGTAACACCTGCAAAGTTTGGGGTGAAGTGTAAAATAATTTTACAATGACCTCAACAGCTTTTTGTTGTTTTAACAAAGAAAATGTCAAGAATACTTAAAATACAATTATTTAGCATTCTGAAAATCCATCCATCCATCCATTATCTTTACCCGCTTCTTCCTTGTCGGATCACAGGGGTCACTGGTGCCAGTGTCCAGCAGTCACTGTATGAGAGGCGGGGGATACCCTGGACAGGTCGCAAGTCCTTCACAGAGACACATAGAGACAAAGGAGACAAACAACAATTCACTCTCTCACTCACACCTAGGGACAATTTAGAGTTACCAATCAGTCTAACATGCATGTTTTTGGTCTGTGGAAGGAAACCGGAGTGCCCGGAGAAAACCCTCGCATGCACGGAGAGAACATGCAAACTCCACCCAGAAAGGCACCTAGACCGGGATTTGAACCAGGGTAACCTCCTTGCTTAGAGGCAGCAGCTCTACCAACTGTGCCACTGTACTGCACCAGTTTGAAAATATTCTGAAAAATAAATGAATAATAATATTAATAATAATAATAATAATAAGAAGAAGAAGAAGAAGAAGAATGGTCCACCAACTGCCTGGTGCAGTTGGTAGAGCTACTGCCTCTCAGTGAGCAGGTTCAAATCCTGGTCTGGGGGCCTTTCTGGGTGGAGTTTGCATGTTATCTCTGTGCATGCGTGGGTTTTCTCCAGGTACTCTGTTTTCCTCCCACATACCAAAAACATGCATGTTAGGCTGATTGGTAACTCTAAATTGGCCCTAGGTGTGAGTAAGAGAGTGAATGGTTGTTTGTCTCATTTGTCTCTATGTGTCTCTGTGATGGACAGGAGACCTGTCCAGGGTGTACCCACCTCTTGCACATTGACTACTGGATATGGTCATCAGTGACCAAAAAGGAAGAAGCAGATAAAGTAGGGATGCACTATATTGGATTTTTGGCCAATATTCGATATCCGATATGCCGATATGTTAAAACTTATTTGGCCGATAACCGATGCCAATATCGATATTTGATGTATCCAAAAAAGTTCAATCTGGTCCTCTGGACATTCAAAAAAAATAAAAAATAAAAAAAACAAAGCAAAAAAATGTAGATATGTTTCGTCTTTCATCCGAAAGACTTCTTCAGTCTGAGGTGCTGTATTCAGCTCAGTCTCTTAAATAGCACCTTCTCAGAGTGGACCAACCAGTTTGCTGCTGACAACCAAAACCAGCTGCTCATATGGTCAAGAAGGACCATCAGCCTAACAATGGATCATTAGCACACTGATGGCTGTTTACTATTCACAGGGGGTTGAGTGATACTAGCAATAACAGCATTGTAAGTGGGGGACATTTGAACCCAGAGGCCTCCACCCCTGTTTAATGATGGATGATTTCTTTTCACAAAGATGGCCTCCTTTACTCCTCTCTCAAACCATCGTTCCTCTCTGTCCAGGATGTGAACATCTTCATCCCTGAAAGAGTGACCGCTGGCCTGGAGATGAGTGTAGACCGCAGAGTCCTGGCCTGATGATGTTGATCTTCTGTGCTGGGCCATCCTTTTGGCCAGTGGCTGTTTAGTTTCCCCGACGTAAGACTGATCACAGCCCTCCTGACACTGAACAGCATACACAGTATTACTCCGTCTGTGCTGGGGGACTGGATCTTTGGGATGAACCAGTCTTTGCCGTAATGTATTTTGGGGTTTAAAAGCTACTGGGACGTTATGTTTAGAAAATAAACATCTCAGTTTCTCTGATACTCCCTCAACATATGGAATGACCACTGGTCTGGGTCTGGGTTCCTCCTTTTCACCTGATGGCTGACTGGAATCCTGTTTGGGTTTCTTCTCTGCTTTCAGGAAGGCCCAGTTAGGATATCCACATTGCTCTAGAGCATGTCTTGTGTGGGATTTCTCCTTCTTCCTGGCTCCTGAGTCAGTGGGGACGCTGTCTGTTCTGTGATACAGAGTCCTGATGACTCCTAACTTGTGCTCCAAAGGGTGATGGGAGTCAAACTGCAAATACTGGTCTGTGTGGGTGGGTAATACAAAAGCATTAGGTTTTGGTTTGGATCAAACTCAGCTTTATGTCTTTTTGCCTGATAAGGAAATATTTTTGGATGACTCTGACTTTTTGACTTTATAGTAGATGGTCATAAAAATTGTAAAAAGGGAAAATGAGCTGTGGTAACACATGAGAAGGATACCAAGCTTTTAGTTTAACTATGTTTCAAAAACATTTTAAAAGATGGAACAAACAAAGAGCTGATATTGGGAGGATTATAAGTGTGAAAAATGACATTTACTTTATCTATCCACCCATCCATTCATCCATTATATTCTGCTTGTTCCAGAGTCAGGACGTAGGGACAGCAGCTTAAGCAGGGAGGCCCAGACATTTTTCCCCTCAGCTACATCTTTTAGCTCTTCTGAGAGGGCTCCAATGTGTTTAAAGGCCAATCAAGAGACATAGTCTCTCCAGTGTATCCTGGGTTTTCCATGGGATTTCCACCCAGTCAGATATACCCGGAGCACCTCCCTCAGTAGGCGCCCAAGGGGCATCCTTACCAGATGTCTAAACTACTTCAACAAACTCATCCTTACCAGATGTCTAAACTACCTCAACAAACTTCTTTTAATGGGGAGGAGCAGCAGCTCTTGTCTGAGTCTCTCCTGGATAACTAAACTTCTCACCCTATTGGTAATGAAGAGTCCAATTACCTTGCGGAGAAAATCCATTTCAACCACTATGTATCCATAATCTCATTCTTTTGGTCACTATCCAAAGTTTGTGACCATAGGTGAGGATAGTAACATAAACCAACTGATAAACAGAGAGCCTTGGCTTACAGATAAGCTCATTCTTCACCACAACGGACCAGAACATGGTCCACAATACTGCAGAAGCTGCATCAATCCATCTGTAAATTTTATGCCCCATTCTTCCCTCACTCATGAACAAAACCCCAAGATATTTGAATTCCTCCAATTAAGACAGTACCACAACCCCCTACTTTGAGAGGGCAATAAAACATTTTCTGACTGATGTCCATGGCCTTAGATTTGGAGATGCTGATCCTCAGCCCTGCCATTTCACACTTGGCTGTGAACCGCTGCAGTGAGAGCTGAAGTTCACAGCACAATGAACCTTATAGGACAACATCATTCGCAAATAGCAGATAATCGTGATGCCACTGAACTCTGTCTGTCCCCTGATTTCCCAGAGAAATTATATCCATCATAAAAGTTATGGATTGAATTGTTGACAATAGGCAGTCCTGGCAGAGTCTAACTGCAACTCTGAAGGGATCTGACTTACTGTCTGCAATGCAAACCAAACTCTTGAACCACTTGTACAGGGACTATATGGCCCATAGCAAAAGACACCTGATCCCATACTCGTGGAACACCCCCGTAGTATACCTCAAGGAACACAACTGAATGTGTTCTCAAAACACATGTAAATTGGATGGGAAATCTCCCATGACCCCTCAAAGACCTCAGTGAGAGTAAAGATTTGGTCCAGTGGTTCATGGCCAGGACAGAACCCACATTGATCATTGTGAATTTAAGGTTTGACTTGCAGTCTGAGTAATTTTTCCAGCTCTAGGTAGCTGTCCCATCCAGAGTAAGCAATCCAGTGGGCAGTCCAGAGTAGAATAACGTCCATTCCCTCTCAAGGAGATTGGTTCCAATGCCATGTGTCAAGGGAGCCCATACTGTACTTTACAGTAAATACGTCTCAACCACACACAAAAGCTCAGGCTCCTCCCCCACCAGAGAGGGAGCATTACACATCCCAAGAGCCAGCCTTGGTACTCCAGAGTCTAAGTGCCTAGGCCCCCACCTTCAGCAACCACCCATGGAACTATGTACCTGACTTGTATAGCCCCTCCTGCAGATGATGGGCCCACAAGAAGAGACCCATGATACTCATTCAGGCTGAACCCAACCAGGTCCCATGGGTGAGACCTGGTCAAGAGGTGCTCACCAACAACACATAAATAATTAGGATGGCGATGAAGACAGCTCTGATGGATGATTTTAATTTTATTAGGAGCGAATTGCAGGTGGTGAGAGCAGAGCTTGCTGGAAACACTGCAGCCCTCATAGCAGAGTTTGACCAAGTCAAACTAAGTGTAACAGAGGCTGAAAACGGGCTGTCTTTATGATCAGTTGAGGGAGAGGCTGTACGTGGAACTGTGGTGGAATTGAAAAATTAGGTGGATGAATCCATGGAAGGTTATATGAAATGGAACAATATTAGGATTATTAGAGTTCCTGAATGGCCGGGCTTATGCACCCCTACAGTGATAGCTAAGATGCTAACAAAGGTGCTAAAGCTGGGCAAGTCACTGTTGATCAACCACGTGTACCAGACGCCGGGCAGGAGAGGTTCAGATGATAAATCAAGAGCTATCATGGCCAAGCTGCATTGTTATCAAGATTGTGTGGAGATATTACAATGAGCATGCAGCAGTGGCCCCATCTGCTTCAAAGAATCATCCATATTTGTCGCAGCCGATTACACACCATTCGTGGAAAGGGCACAAGCGGTGTTCATGGAGGTGAGGCAACTCCTGTGGAACTGAGCAGGTATCTGGTATGGACTTCTTTTTCCTGCATGGCTTCGCATCACACATGAAGGGATGGACAACATGTTTGTCAACTCTGATAAAGCAATGAAATGGGTTGGTGCTGTACTTTGGAGCACAGTATTGGTTCAAGAGGATGAAGAGCAGTGGGCTGAGGACACAACCTTGTGGGGCCCCCATATTCAGTGTGAAGGTTTTGTGTTACAGCTGACTCATACATTCTGTTGCCTCTGACAGAAAGTCCAGCACCCACTTGCAGAAAGAGGTTTTGAGACCCTCTGAGTAAGCCCTGGATGGACAGCAGCCGAAATAGCATCTTCTGTGGACCGGTTTGTCCTATAGACAAATTGTAATTGGTTGTTGGAGGAAGAGAGAATGGACTTGATGTTCTGCATGACCAGCCACTCGTAGCACTTCATGACAATGGGCAGTACTATGGGTCGATAGTCATTGTAGCTAGACAGGAGGAGATTCTTTGGGACCAGTATTGATGTGGCTTTGAAACACATGGGGACAACAGCTTGGTTCAGGGAGATTCTGAAGATGTCTGCAAGGACATCTTTGAGCTCCTGCAGATCTCAGCAGGATGGTGATGTGATCAGAAAGTCACAGGGCGAGGCCTTGTATGCATCCTTGTGGGTTGTGTAAACCAGATCCTATAATGGCCCTTATGCATTGTAAGGCCTAGTCCAGCCTGGACTGATCTACCCTGGGTTCTGAGTCTGGACAGTGGGCAGTCTGGCTAGTGCCAGCTCAATTTTTAGAATCCATAGACCTGGGGTTCAATTCCAGACAGGCTGGTGCTGCAGATTTGATGTCAGCAGACTGCTGGCCATTGACTGGTTTGCTGGCCCAAAGGGGTCACATCACAGATGATTCATACTTCCAGCGATCGCTTCTTACCGCCATTTCCGTTAGCTACTTGCTTCTGCACGGTTGTGAGAGAGCTTCTATTTTTCTTTAGAAAAAATGCCAATGCAAAAACAACACCAGTTTTTGGGGCAGCTGTGGCTGAATGGTTAGAGCAGCCGTCCTCCAATGGGAAAATTGGGGGTTCAATGCCACCATCTGTCACATGTTGACATCTCCCTAGGCAATACACTGAACCCCCATTTCCTCTGATGTGTGTCCCATTGGTGTATGAATATGATCTAAAGCACTGTTTATTCTTTGTAGAATAATTTGTTCAGATTAGCTTTGTAGAGTGCTGTATGAATGTGTGTGGAGGTAAATGAGGGCACAGACTGTAAAGCACTGAGTATCTTGATTAGATAGAAAGGCACTACATAAGTACAGTCCATTTAACATTATCTGGACACAATGAGGTGCAGTTATTGCTGAGCTGAGATTTGTGTTGTCTTGCTATGACAATCCCGCCCACATTGAGGCTGATAGTGAACAAAACCAGAACCAGGGAAGACAGTGGCTGGGCCAACTGTGGCCGGGTCAGGCTTTATACTGCACAAGACGCATATGTTATCTCCTGTGGTTGAGAAATTTACATGTTGGTGAATAAATCTGTGTGGTTCAAGTCTCCTACTGTGGTGAGGAATCCATCAGACTGTGCTGTCTGTTGTTCACCATTAGCTTGGTAAAGTTCACTGAATCCCGAACACCTCAAGCTGGTGTTAGCAGTTGGAGGGATGTAAGCAGCAGCAATCCAAATCAATGTGAACTCTCTTGTTAGGTAGAAGAGTCTGCATTTACTTGTGATGAACTCTATCAGTGGTGAATAGTGTTAGCATTTCAGAACCAAGCATCACTGATGTAAACACACACACCCCCACCATCAGTCTTGCCCTCTTTTATAATAGCATGTTTGCACCGCTCAGATCTTAGGTGGTCTATGTGATGTATTTTGTTGTCCAGAGAGTATACATTAGCAAGAATGAGATGGTAACCAGGTCTGTGTGGGCTAACCTGGATGCCTCCTTGCTTACTTGCTTTTGTTTCCTTGAACAACGCTTTTGGTCCCTCTGTCCTGGTTGAGACACAGTGGACGAGTCCAACTGTGTGGTGATCCAACAGAGAAGACCCAAGTTTTGTAGTTTTTCTCTGATGTTCTGGTCCAAGATGAGCTATTTGGTTTAATTCCTTATAGTCAGAAGAGAGTGGGGACAGTACCTCAAACTCGACCTCTCGTCATCAGCATTGTCAAGGTCATAGGTGAAAGATGCACAAGTGTCGAGAAATCAAAGCAATAAATAATGAAAAATAAAATTGTATACCTACATAGCATTCCCTGGTACCTATTCTTAACATGAAGTATAAATTAAAAGAAAATCAAAAGCTTAACAATCAAATCAAATTGTGGAGAGAAAGGGGCCACTGTGTCCGTGCACATGGCTTTCAAACCTCTTTCAAGTCATTATTCGGGGAGTAAATTAATTTTTAAACTATTTTGCAAAAAGAAAATCTGAGCTATCTGTGACTAAAAAACACAAAAACTGCTAAATCAATGTAAAATTCAAATGAAAAAATGTTGCCTGTATTATTATAGTTTTGTTTAGATCAAGATTGCTGAATAGTAAAAAGTCATAAACAGCCATGTGCTTTTAATTTGTAATGCAACGGGTTTTCCCACCATACTGTATCTTTCTTGTTCTATTTTATTTTACCTACACATTACATTCATGGAATTATTTGGCAAGAGATTTACAAGATTTTATTAACACTATTGCCCTTTAGGATAGACTGGTTTCTCCTGTCTATTTGAAATTAAAATCTTTACATTTACTTTATTCTAGATTTCCCTTCCACTTAGTTAAATTTCTCTCGCTTTAAAGTCACACAGAATTAAATAAATACTTTTATGATATCACTTAGGTACTTTATACACTAAGTTCTTAATCCAGCTGAACAAAACAAATGCTTAAAGTCTAAGCTTGTAATCTTTACCACTGAGAGCTCTCTGTATAGTTATAAATCATTGTAAGTCCTCTTAAATCATGCCTTTCCTTGAATTCACATTGTCAATTATGAATGAACTCTCTAGAAAATGTATTTGCATTTATTTTATTTCCTCAAAATAACATGTCTGTCCTTTTAGATCCTGTAATTAATTATGCTCTTTTTGCTTCATCTGTCCTCGTCATCATGTCCTCACATGTCACTGCTGTTAGAAATCACTTTATGTTTGAGTTAACTTACTAATATCTTCCATCTAACAGACTGGTGGTTGTTTCAGCTGTTCCTTTTATGTTGCTTTTTACTTTTGGTTTCATTTTTCTATCTGAATTTATTTTATTTTTTGTTCTTCTTTTGATTGCATGCTAGTCTCACAAGCGACTTTCCAAAGTAAGCATTCCTCTTTTCTTTTCTGTCCAACCATGTTGTGCACTCTCCAGCACCTATGGTCTTGTGAGCCTCTGTGTTGAAATGCCCAAACCCCATTTGAGAAGTTTTACCCTGAACCCAATATTTTCCCTGTGCACACTGTACTGTAAATGCTGCACGTCAGCCCTAAAACCCCTTTCAGAACAGATGTTTCCTTTTCATTGATTTCCTACTGTTCTTTCCTTTTTTCCCTCAGAAATTGTGATTTAATAAACTAACTCCCTAATAGTCCCCAAAAATATCTCCTTTCAGACAAAGGTGAAGAGAAATAAAACAGAATTTAAAAAGCAGTTCTGGAACGATCCAGTAGATGGATTGTGCTGAAATTTTTTTCAAATACTCAAAAATATAAAAAAGCAATATTTGTCAACAAAATAGTGGCACGATGGCTCTGTTTGTAGAGCTGTTGACTCTTGGCGAGAAGGTCAAAAATCCTGGTCCCGAGGTTCAAATCCCAGCCGGGACCTTTCTGGGTGGAGTTTGCATGTTCTCTCTGTGCATGCGTGGGTTTTGTCCAGATACTCCAGTTTCCTCCCACAGATCAAAAACAAGTTAGGCTGATTGGTAACTCTAAATTGTCTCTAGGTGTGAGTGAGAGTGAATGGTTGTTTGTCTCGTTTGCCTCTATGTGACCCTGTGATGGACTGGAGAGCTGTCCAGGGTGCCCCTCACCTCTTGCAGTGAGTAATGGCCTGACATGAGCACCAGAGACCACCATGACCCGAAAAGGAAGAAGTGGGTAAAGATAATGGATGGTTGGACGTCAACAAAATTTCTAAAAAAAATAAATGAAAAAAACCCACCTCAAATGTTTGTCCAAAATATACACAAAAAAAATTTTTTTAAATCATGTCATCTGGTCAGTTTTTTTTTTAAGAAACGTTTTGTCTTTCA